CTAATGTACAAGTTCCGACAATTAACTTATGAGACTAATTCCATAAACATTAAAATAATTAACAGTTGAAGTTATAACCTGCATCTGATTCAAAGTAAACCCCTACAGCAATTGGCACAATCTAACAAACACTGGAGCGACCACTGTAGTTCTTCTATTGTTATCGCCCTTAAAGTCAATGTTACGGCCCTTTGGATGCCATCAGTATTGTAGAAGTTTGCTTTCAATGGCAACTTTAATTTTGGTATTCGAAAATAGTCAAAGGGAGACAAATCTGGGGAATAGGATGGATGGTTGAGAACACGCATCTGTTTTTGGGCCAGACATTCCTGTACAAATACCGCCTTTGAGCTGGTGCATTATCATGAAGAAGGAACAACATTGCCAGGTGTTGAATACAAACCAACTAGCAACTTTTTTTCTTGCCCAAATTTTCCATTAAAATTTTACGAATAATCTCTGTATTTACACCAAATTCGTCTACTATCATCCTCACAGTCCAACAATGATCGTCTTTTCATCCATTTTCGTCCTTATTAGGTCGAAATTTTTTGTCATTTGAAGCCCTACCCTGGCTTTTGCCAGGGGCCGCAATATAGGCAGGCCATACATATGGCCAAATGTCTGAACGCGGTTTCTGGGACCTCTCCACGGCGATCCTCATCCGCATGGTGGCACTTTGTGTCATCGGGTGTTTATCGCTTGTGTGATGTCCTGGTGGGGTAGAAAGTCAGTCAGTCAGTCATGATCGTCTTCTTGTATCCGTTCTCGAAATTTTGCAATGAGTTTTTCATTACGAACAGAAATTGGACGTTCATGTCTAGTTGCATTAGTAATCATTTCCACACCACTTTTGAATTGTGAATACCGCCGAAAATATGTGCATGAGATAAATAATTATCCCCATAAACTTGTCGCATAAATGCAACTGTCACAATGGAGCTTTTTCTGAGTTTTAAACATAATTTAATGTTGTTAACTTTTTTTGTTGCTCCATGCTGATTACGTAACAATGCACCTCTAACTAGGTTTACAAAATATCGGCTTGTTTGTTGTGTGTAATCGGGCCTCGATGAAAAGTTGCCAGATCATAGACGAAGGTTGCCTCTTTGGATTCCATGCTTTGATTCATAGATGGTATTTTTTTTATCTTAGCCATAATAAAATCAGTCTCATTACTTAAATGTCGGACCTTGTAGATAATCCACAGAACATCTCACTTCTGGTGTTGATGATTCACGGAACACCCCACTTGTGTTGTATAGGATTCATAGAATATGCCATTCTAGGGTGATTACAGTATCTTGGGGTGAAAATGAGACATACCACTAATAATTTTACTGAAAACGGCAAAAAGGTTAACCCCTCCCTTTTTTTCTGGGTCTTCGGGATGAAATCGTTAATTACTCGCTCTGTAATTTTCATTAAAACCTAAACCATTGTCCTCGAGAAAAAAGTGAAACAATATACTCTTTAACGGCACTGAAAAAGAATTAGTAATATTAGTACGTTTTACCCCACTATGACATCACACAAGCGATAAACACCAGATGAAACAAAGTGCCACCATGTGGATGAGGATCACCCGTGGAGAGGTCCGGGAAACCGCGTTCAGCCATGAAGCCATATTTATGGCCGGGCTATATTGCGGCCCATGGCAAGAACTAGGGTGGAGCTTCAAAATAACGAAAAATTGCAACCCACAAGGGGATGACGAGTTATTGTGGAAAAAAAAAGTAATGGTTGAAAAAAAGGGGCGGGGGAATAAGATATATAAAGTCACAATTATAAGTATGTGTTTTACTTCCCTAGATTATTTTTTCGTAAATTACCGACAGGTCGGCCGAGGCACACCTAAATACGGGACTGTTTCGGTGCAAAAGTCACCCTACCCAACTCCAATTTCTGTCTGACTCACGAACGAAGTTTTTCTGTCTTGCAGATTCACACGTCCTTCACCTTGAATAACAGTGCAGTTATCTCCCTTGAAGGGACAGAACCAGGAACTCCGAAGAATTAATCCTGAATACCTAGGACATTCTTGACATCCATTATGTAACTGAGTTTGCAAAGAAAACAGTGACCCAAATATCTGTATGTTTAAATTAGTATAAACAAGTAACAGATGTTAGCCATTAGAAAACAGTTTTATGATGAAAAATGGCGTCGATTTCTACCCATCAGACTCGGGAAAATATAGATGCTAGTCATATCTCATGTATAAGGCAGCCACATCGCCGTTTTACTCGCTATCATCAGTATTATCAACAACATGCTGTTGACCACTCTACCATATATCCTATAATTAGTCAGCGTGGCGCAGTTGTTAGTGTAGATGTCTCGAGAGGTGGGGATTCGTTTGCTGATTACGACAACTTGATACCGCTTGTCAGATTGGATCGGATTGTAGAAGACGAAGCGGACAGGGAGGAGGGATCGATCAATAATGTGCATTATGATAATGCAGGAACGCGTGGCTCGTCAGATGCGCCAGGCGTTGACAAGGACAGAGTCACGCAGACCAAGTCTGGCAATCTGGGTGACCGGGGTTGTTGTTCTGGCCGTCGCTGTAACATCCTGGGCAGTTGTGGTTACCAGTGCGTCCAGAAAGACACAGGTGGAAATACAGCTTCAAGTGAGAAACTTACCACTTTGTGAATGTACAGACAATAAGTACACCATGGGAAATGTTCTGCTCGCTTTTCCCACCGGCAACGTGGGTGACTCCAGTTCAAGCAGCACAAGATTAAGCCAACGAAAGCGTTGTTTGGTTCAGTCGAGCAAACAGCAAACGGATCTGGTTAAGGGTTCTACCATCCCATCGACAGTCTTTAACGGAGAGAAACCCAGTATCAGATCATCTGAGGCACCAGAAATGCCTTCATGTTCACTTATTTCGGATACATTAGCAAAAGAATTCATCAACGCCTATAGAAAACATTCTGCTGACTTCGGTTCACCACAAAAAGACCCATGTTCTACATTTGCCAACGCTGCTGGTGAAGTCGCACCAGAAGCTCGGAGAAAAAGTGAGCGTATTTCTGCAGTTGTTACTGAAGACATTCTGTTAGTAAAACGTTCTGAAAGCATTGCTGGGACGTCCGATAATAGACCGAATTACTTTGACACTAACACGTCACCAGCATCCCCATTTGAGCAGGATAACTTCATTGTACCAGTAACAACAAAACATACAAGATCTTTCTCAACTACAGAAGGATGTCACAAAGTATCAGAAACAGAAAAGAAGCTACTGTATGGTCGTGAAACTTTTCAAGTGACTGACGATTATCGGAACATTCCGTCGGGGAAAACCCCAGTAATCGTTATAACACAGAGCACTCCAAAGAGAAAACCATTGAATACACCTGGAAGCACACAGTTTTCTGACTGCCAGGAACAAGCTAGTGCAATACCATGCCGTGGCCTTCCAGACTGTACCGGTGGGCAGAAAACAAATGGAGTCAATAAAGAGTATAAGAACGAAACTAATACCAGGGAAAGCCAGGCTTCGTCTCCAGATAATAGACATTCTAATGATCAGCCTAAAACTGAACCCGTCAGATCCGCTTGTGTACGTGAGTCTAGTGATATTCCTTTTTGCATTTCTGTTAGTGACAAGGACACACCAGAAGCCGTTGTACTTTATGGAACAGCGAGAGATTTAGACAAATATTCATCGTATGCGGAACATCTAGCCGAACAATTCACGCCACATTTGACGAAAGTCGCGAATAATGAGAAACTGTCAGAGGAAACTAGAATCTACCATTCGTCTACTGCAGCGAAAGCAGCAGCAACATCCACAGCGTCATCTACCGTTGCTATTACCAATGAAAGCGTGCAGCTGGTATCAGTACCAGTTCATGATTCAAGACATCAAATAGCAGAAGACTTCAAGCTGAGTAGCTGCACAAAACGACATTATTCACAGTCAAATGCGCAGGAGACACTAGAACCAGCTGTAGAGGACAACATTGGCGACTACGCTGTGTCTTATCATGTCAAAAGGCAAAACACCATAAATCACTCACAAGGAAATTTCACGAATGTGAACATGAATAAGTGTCACCCTGAAAACAAAGAGAAACCTGACCATATGTCCAGAGAACCACTTATCAGTTTGACTGAGTCAGACTCTGTATCCCTGTTTGAGCCACAGTATACAGAAATCTCAGAAGCAATAGAGCCAAGAGCTACACAGTCCAGCTTTGGAAGGTTCCTGCTTGATTCAGACCAAACCCACTACAAGGTTGTTCGTCTGTGTGACCCAGCACAACGTCTTGTAGAGTCTGCCGAGGCCGATGTTATATATGCTGTACCTATACCAAAGAGTAAGCGAAAAACTGAGCAGTCCAACACGTTTACAACAAAACCTGCGCTACAACCAAAGCAGCTTTTTGTAGACTCGCCCCCAACGCCAGCTCGTTCTCCAATGTGTAGCCCAGAGTCTACAGTGTTTGAGGACACGGACAGCCCTTGCGATACACCGGTGACCAGAAACAAAGTCCAGGTGACGTGCCAAATGAAACAGCCAACAGCCGCCGGGAGATTCTACTCAGATTCCAGTGAATATGATTATTCCAACATCCCCAAGTTTGGCAGATATGAATTTTTCAGCTTGGGTCGTCGACCAAAACGACTTCGAAGCAACTCTTTGAGAAACAGCAAAGAAGTATCTGTCAGTTTGGAAATGATGTTGAAACTTCGACACGACAGTTTGTCAGAGATACCAGGAAAGTCAGCAGCTGATGAAACTACTAGTGTTGATGATATCTTAAGATCATGTCGGGAGTTTGACCAAAGCCAATCTTTCTATCGCGGCAGAACCAGCTCTGACAGCACGCACAGTTCATACTTAAGCTCATTATCTTTCGTGGAAATTGCGAATATAAAAAGGCATATTCATGACACAAGAGAGTCAGAAAACAAACCAAATCAGTTGACAACGTTCAAAATGAACGGTATTCATAACAAATTAAACAGCGTGCTGAAATTGAATGGAGACCCCTGTGACACCTCCACACCTACATGCCACTAAAGATGACACTTTCAACAGAACTGTGAACGTCAACGGACTCCAATCAAATAATGTCACCCAGGTGAATCTGTCACTCGTCTTGTCCTCGCAAAATGCTTCTAGTATCGGACACATCGGCCAAATGACTGAACGAAAGACCACGTCTAATGGTTCAGCAAGTAGTTCATTTGGACAACAGGGGTTTGCCACCAAAGAAATAGCCACAAATACCCCCAAGTCTACCCAGTGTCGCGTTGATCCTCAACCAGCTGGAAGTACACCCACAGCCATTCACAATAAAGAAGTCAGTAGCTCTTCAACATTCAACATTGAGGTTAAGTGTGTCATTCGATCTGACTACGCAATGCATAACTGTGACTATGATTCTACAGAAACGTTCCAGTCCGACCCTTCTGCAACTTCACCAATAGAAGACGTGAGCAGTGTTTCATACTCACGAAACATTCTTTTGAACAACCATGACGCGAGGAAATATGACCAAACCAGACCAGAAGGTACTGAAACTTTCTATTCCCAGCGTAGTTTTCCACTTTCGATCACTCAAAACCCTATAGAATGTGGTGTTCAGGATAAAACAGAAGTACAGTCCTCAGAAGTAAAGTCAACAACTCATGGGGCATTACGGGATCAATTTCTACCACAGAATGTGGTTTCATCGTCTGCAAAGATTCAGTGTCATGAGGTCACCATTTCAAAACAAAGCCGAGAGCATCTTTCTCCAGAACATACTACATCTGACATCTCTAGAGAAGCATCAACTACAACGGAAGCCCCAGAATCTCCAATGTCGAGCTCAGACGTGACCAGTCCAGTTTCTCCCGTGAGCATGTGGTCAACTTCTGGTGGCGACTTCAGTCCAGGAATTGTGTCTACGCACTCCGAGGATGTCTTCAGCGAGTTGACAACTGACCAGCTGCCGTCTCCTGCCCAGAAATCGTCATCCTACTGTGCAAGTAAGTTGAGTCATGCTCATATAAAAAT